TTTTTTTTATTTCTTTCCATTCTGGATTTTTCAGATTTCTCTATTTCTACTTAAGCACTTGGGTTATTTTCCATTACAGAACTTTTATATATGTTGGATGCATGTTTTAACAGAATGAACAATGATATTTGTGTTTTGAGACTTTGTTCTTGAGTTTATGCTCTCCGAAGTGTTTTAGTCTATCATATTGCAAGTGGTGTATTTGTATCTTGCTTAGAAACATGTAGTGGATCCTTCTGGCCATTGTGTTTCACCGTTTCAGAGTTTTCTTGTTGTTTTCAATCGGGACAAACGCTGAACATTGTCTATCCCCCTCCAAACACCATCGACCAACCATATTATCATCCCTTTACTATTCCACAACCACCTCCGCACAAAACCAGGTTCCTAAACACCTTTTAGGAGACCTATAACAGTTTCATTTGATATCAAAGTTCAACAAGCCCTCAGTTTTAGTGATCTGTCTTCCTTGGTTTAAAACCAAAACTCAAAAAAAAAAAAATAAATAAATAAATAAAAAGATTACATAATACCCAAATAATCCTACTGCAATTCCTAGCCCTAATCCTAAATTTTCAAAATCCAGCATTACTACTTTCCAAAAACCGCCCTGACACCTACCACCAAAACCCTAAACTCGACTAACATTTTATTGTCAACTCTACATCCATCAAAACCTTGATCAAGAGAAAATGACACAATGCCGCCTAGGAGAAAACTGCAAAGAGGTGTCTAGGAATTTACCATTGAGGATATGCAACGAGAAATCCTTCAACTGCAATAGTGGCTTGTGGCCTTTGAGAGAAGATAATCCGAACTGGTCACCCATGATCACAACGGTGACTCACCAAATTAAGAGGAGGAAGTGAACCCCTTCTATCAGAAAGTTTCCAGTGATGAAGAATCGATACCCTAACAAATTGGCCTAAATATCATAGGATAAGCCAAAATCATAGAGTAAATGTAAATTTAATGAATTTTGATGGTTGCATGGATCCGAATGAGTTCATCAAGGGACTTCAGATAGTGAAATGAGTCTTTGAGACGAGAACATTCCGCTAGACATGAGGGTAAAACTAGCAACTGTTAAATTAAAGAAAAGTGCATATCTTTGGTGGGAGAACCTGAAGCATCTTCAACAATAAAAAGGAAAAATTAAGATCATCACCTGATCTAGGA